AAGTTACATAAATAGTTGTGTCAACAAGAAAATCCCCGGCGTTACGGAAATTCTATTATTTTATTTCCTAAAAAACGGAAGCAAATATTTGGACAAAATAATCACCAAGTCAGTTTACTCCAAATCGAACAAAATATATATATTTTTTTAATTGGTATATTCAATAAGAATTCAACATTAAAATCACTACATATGTTTGTCTGTTAAACGAACACTGGAGCGATGTTGAGATAAATTGGTAAGAAAGATCTTTAATATTAAACATCTAGTGAGAATTTAAGCGAATTTCAGTTGCAAAATGAAGGATGCGTACTTGATACATTGTTTATGTATTGGTATTATGGTTGTGTGTGGAGACACGACAGACAATGTCTATTTCAACACGTTTCTAGCGCAATCAACTTCTCCACAAGGGCAAAACAGTGATGTTACACTTCTTTGGACGTTTCTAAAATTTTCAGTTGAAGATTGTGTTTCAAAGTGTAAACATTTACGTAAATGTAGTTACATTAACTATTATTCTCGGTCAAACACGTGTGAGCTGATAGCGAGTACTGCTGATAATATGACTGTCACAATACAGCCCGGGGTAATTTTCGGGAAAAAATTGGACTGGGACATGGTAAGTTTTAGCTGTGTTATTTCAAAAAATAAATAAATGTTTCTTCAGTCTAAGTTTTGACAAAACTTTACTGTTGGCAATATTTGAACATTTAAAACATGATAAATATTTTTGAAACTTTAAATAAAATAAATGCATAAATAAATTGTCGTACTATTCAATTATTATTGTCGAACCTAACTAATTTTAACCAAAGTTCGATAACGTTTGTCACCAGTGTAAAGTCAGCCAGTCTGCTGGAACAAAAATAAGATTGCCTTTGCCACCACCAGCCGATCACTTTGACAATTCTCTATATTGTCCAAATTTTCAACTTTACGGACAGTTCCATAACTGGAAAAAATGTTTAAAAAAATCAGCACGTTATAGGTTATAATACACCGTAAGTTGTTAACTTACATCAGATAATCATAAATAGATTTTAAACACGAACAAAAAATACAATATGGACTTTGGCCAACTTAAAAAGAATTATTTACGGTTTGTTCCTCAGAAAAAAGGTTTCAGTATTATGTGACTGAACTTTAAAATTCTTTCCAAACAAAGCACTGCAATTTAAATAATACATACCAATACAGTGGGTTTGCGACCAGCATGGATCCAGACCAGCCTGCGCATCCGCGCAGTCTGATCAGGATCCATGCTGTTCGCTTACAAACCCTATTACAAGTAGAGAAACTGATAGCGAACAGCATGGATCCTGATCAGACTGCGCGGATGCGCAGGCTGGTCTGGATCCATGCTGGTCGCAAACCCACTATATTGGTATTGTCATGACGCGGCTCATTTATGTATTATTTAATAAAACTAGGGTCATGCAGGAATTTTTAGATTTCAAAGAGAACTTCTTTTATGAACATTCATGCTAGAGTCATTGACGTATACTTATTTCCCTGGCGGAATTAAAGATCCTGTATGTTTTGTGATTGATATCGTTATTATGCGTATACCACACTTGCATTAAATTATATATGTATATAATTATGCAAATAAAACAATTTTCAAACATTTGTGCACATTTTATTTAATCAATAAATTATATGCATTCATTTCTTATTGGAAAATTTGACTTAGAATTTATAGAAAATAAATTTCTAATTATTTCCCTTTATTTACATGAAATGTTAAATTCGGTAATATCTTTATAAATAATGCTTATTGGAACTTACTAGTACAATATTGACAAATCTTAATTTGAGCATCATATTTATGAAATAAAACCATGAAAAAAGTGTTACAGGATCTTTAAAGATTATATCTAGATTTGAGGAACACAGAACATGCTTATTCCTAACAAGGGTTGGTTCTAGTAAATATAAATGAAAATAAGTCTTAACAAAAGAGGATTAATGTACCTGTTTTTTATCAACATTTGTCCAAGCAGACCGTGCATTTAAAGCTCAACCCACATGGTGAGGGATTTAATGACCCAGAGGGCTTCAGCAGATTTAATTGCTCTCGAAAAGAGGTGTATTAATTAATGTCATTCTTGCATAAACGTTAACATCTATATCGGTAATTCCGCGATTCGTTTTTCGCAGAATTTATGCAAAAATTGTATTACTGGTTTTCAACCGAAATTCATTCTATACACCTAGATCTTTTCAAGGAAACATACATATATACATAGTCCATTTTTGCATATTAAGTTGTGTAAATTTCTACCTCCTTAGCTTGAAAATAATTTTATTGCTGGTTGTTTCTTTTAGATACTGAAACTTCGTTAAACAATGAATGCAGCTAGGCAAACAAACCCTATCTATATATCAATCGAGGCATTACAATGGTGGCTTATTTATGCCATCTCGTGCGTTCGTGCTTTCGCCCCCTCAAAAGTCACAGACATGAGGACACGATAATATGCTAACTTATCGCATCTATGGTTTCGATTTTTTAGAGCATCGACACAAAGACACGATATAATTTTGGCAAAATAACGATATTTTAATAGGCGAAGAAACAATCTATCTTTTTTCGGTAAAAATTATCGTGTTGGCGGGTAGGAAATATTGATGCCGGCGTCCTATATTTGTCGTGTCGTCGTGTCTTTGCCTCAAAATGCTAGAGACGAAATATTTATCGAGTCTTCGTGTCGTCGGGTCTTCGCTCCGAAAGTCGAAGACACGACAAATTTGCCAATAAGCGTGTTTGCGCCTTCAAATTTCGAGGGGCGGACACGAAGCCGAGAAATGGCATATATCAGCCACCATAATTTACAATACCTTTTATGTGACAAGTAGTTGATTGTTTACATTAAAGACACAGTGTTCGGGTTCAACACAAAAAATATATCTGACGAAGTTTGCACCGGAATTAAAAGGTGTTTTCGCCATTCAAGGTTATATACAACCATATCCATACAAAACAGTTATTCTTCTTAAGTGTTTTCCTCGCACATTCAAATTTCAGCCAATATATCGATAACTCATTTACAAAAAGTTCTTAGAATTCAGAAGGGTAAAGTACTTCCGCAAAAGTTACATAAATAGTTGTGTCAACAAGAAATCCCCGGCGTTACGGAAATTCTATTATTTTATTCCTAAAAAACGGAAGCAAATATTTGGACAAAATAATCACCAAGTCAGTTTACTCCAAATCGAACAAATATATATATTTTTTAATTGGTATATCAATAAGAATTCAACATTAAAATCACTACATATGTTTGTCTGTTAAACGAACACTGGAGCGATGTTGAGATAAATTGGTAAGAAAGATCTTTAATATTAAACATCTAGTGAGAATTTAAGCGAATTTCAGTTGCAAAATGAAGGATGCGTACTTGATACATTGTTTATGTATTGGTATTATGGTTGTGTGTGGAGACACGACAGACAATGTCTATTTCAACACGTTTCTAGCGCAATCAACTTCTCCACAAGGGCAAAACAGTGATGTTACACTTCTTTGGACGTTTCTAAAATTTTCAGTTGAAGATTGTGTTTCAAAGTGTAAACATTTACGTAAATGTAGTTACATTAACTATTATTCTCGGTCAAACACGTGTGAGCTGATAGCGAGTACTGCTGATAATATGACTGTCACAATACAGCTCGGGGTAATTTTCGGGAAAAAATTGGACTGGGACATGGTAAGTTTTAGCTGTGTTATTTCAAAAAATAAATAAATGTTTCTTCAGTCTAAGTTTTGACAAAACTTTACTGTTGGCAATATTTGAACATTTAAAACATGATAAATATTTTTGAAACTTTAAATAAAATAAATGCATAAATAAATTGTCGTACTATTCAATTATTATTGTCGAACCTAACTAATTTTAACCAAAGTTCGATAACGTTTGTCACCAGTGTAAAGTCAGCCAGTCTGCTGGAACAAAAATAAGATTGCCTTTGCCACCACCAGCCGATCACTTTGACAATTCTCTATATTGTCCAAATTTTCAACTTTACGGACAGTTCCATAACTGGAAAAAATGTTTAAAAAAATCAGCACGTTATAGGTTATAATACACCGTAAGTTGTTAACTTACATCAGATAATCATAAATAGATTTTAAACACGAACAAAAAATACAATATGGACTTTGGCCAACTTAAAAAGAATTATTTACGGTTTGTTCCTCAGAAAAAAGGTTTCAGTATTATGTGACTGAACTTTAAAATTCTTTCCAAACAAAGCACTGCAATTTAAATAATACATAAATGAGCCGCGTCATGACAATACCAATATAGTGGGTTTGCGACCAGCATGGATCCAGACCAGCCTGCGCCTCCGCGCAGTCTGATCAGGATCCATGCTGTTCGCTATCAGTTTCTCTACTTGTAATAGGGTTTGTAAGCGAACAGCATGGATCCTGATCAGACTGCGCGGATGCACAGGCTGGTCTGGATCCATGCTGGTCGCAAACGCATTACGTTGGTTTTGTCATGACGCGGCTCAAATTTTGTATTTTCATCATTTCTCCAATGAATGACTTAGACTATATAAGGTAATCGACAGAAAAAAATACTCACAGATGTCCCTTTCCCTGAATGATTTATCAGGTATGAAACACAAGATAAGTCATTCATAGAAATACATTCAGGAAAAGGGGGTTATTATAATTATAATATATTTGAAAATATTTGTATGAATCAATCAAAATATTAAATATATACCCCCTCTCCCACACACCTCCCCATCCTGGCTGCCCCTCCCCCTCTCCTCTTAAACCAAAAGAAATAGATATCAAGTCCATTGCAAAATCTGTATATCAGGTATGTACATGGTGTGTATGACAGAAATCATAATTGTAATTTTGATGTTGCCTCTCTTCTTGTGACCTTTAATAGGCAATGAAAATAATATATATGTATCATTTTTCTATTCATCTTCAGACGGCATTGGACACGTGCACCAGCTGCAATGATAATGAGACTTGTATACCTGAAGTACCCGGATGTAAAATTGATGGTAAGTCTTTTGACAGTTTTAATAAAAGTCTAGCATATTTTGGATTTTTTTTACTTCAGGAAACACATGTATGTATACATCCTTGTCAAGATATTTCAATATTTTATAGAATTATTGTAGGAAATGGATAACCAAATAAATAAACTTGTAACAAATGGTTAAACTAGCTATAAATAAAAAAGAAATTGCAGAGTGAACCCTAATTCAGAATTCGCAGTAAGTCAGTTACACCCAGGGAAAGTGCTCCCTGCGTAGGTTATGCACTTTATTTGAAATAAATCTTTTCAGTATTTAAAAAGTTATCCACGTAATACATGTATCGGGTCTAATTTCCACCATGTGTTGGAGCAATAAGTACCTCCAGACGCTTGCAGAAATCATGATTACAAAATAGAAACAAATATCGCATTTTACGCCGATGTTTACATCTTTTATTTGTTATCGTTTAAAATCGGTATAAACAGACAAATAAGGCGTCTTAAAGTGCATTTCGCCGGGTGAAAAGGTGACATTTAAGCATTGAATCATTCAAGCGCCTTGTCTGATATATACCGGAATATACCGGAATACGGCATTTAGTGTGGTGCTCCAACTCTTTTTTTTTTTTTAGTCACACTCGTGAGATAAGTAATCAAGTTACAGATTTGTTACAGTGTTATATTTGTTAACAAAGACCGCTACATTTTTTATATTCTTAAGGATGTGGCTCTCCAGTAGTTTCAAGCGGTACTGTTGTTGTCGGAAATGATTTTAAAGTTGAAGCTAGATTAAAGTACGCATGCGCTACAGGATATAGTAACAACGGAAGTAGTTTGATCACGTGTGAAAGCAATGGCCAATGGTCTTCACTTGATGCTTGCACGCAAGGTATGGATATTCTGTTCTTATATATCATTGTTTTTCATTCATAAACAATCCATTTATGTTCCTGGAAAAATCAAAGATAGACAAATGATTTTTTGGACAAGAGAGATCTACACCTAAAATGAATATGAATGTAAAAAGATAATACTTATAAGTTAGCTCTCACCATTTCAGAAAATTAATGTCAATGCTTTTTTCTTGAGAAAACAGTTATCTTTTTACTCTTCCCGAATTGCAACATAATAAAATGGGGCATTTTAATTGATATATCGATTGTCTATATAGATAAGAATTAATTCATAATAGGTGAAATTATTGTTTTTATATTTGCAGATGCCAGTCAATGCCCCCTGACAACAAATTACCAAACGACTAAACTGAGTGATCACACGAATTTCAAATACTGGTAATTACTGTTGCTTGCTCTTCAGAAAGAGTATTATTAGTTCTCATGAATATTTAAGACTTTATTCATTTTAGATATAAATAAGTGCTGGTATACATACTATTAGCAGAGTTATGATAATAGCTCTTATAAATGATAATCAATGCGTGGAATTATTTTATGTTACTCAGTGTATGTAATAGAGGATATTTATTTGTTTTGTAATATTGAAATATATTCCTTGAGATACCAGATGCAATATTTTAGAATATGATAGCTGGTGTACACGAATGTAATATATTTCAACCTTACACGCAAAACAAATAAATTTTCTTTTTATTTCATGCTTTTTAAGTGATTTTAAGTATTTTTTGCTGATTTTGCTGCGTAACTTCGTGCATTCTCCCATATGTCACCACATCATGATGTCGAATCATCAATTTTGAAATATAGTACTGTTAAACTTTATCTAATTTTGTTACATTTTTACATGATGTATATATGATGACATTCACAATTTTCCTAAAAAAGCAAAATTTACGCATTTTTTTTACATCTTTTTTAGTTTACCTCCATTAAGTTATAATATTCTTTTCATACGCATTCAGATATAACCCGGCTACAGTGAAAATTATATTTTATAAATTTCACTAGTGGTTTATCAGAATATAATCATCTTATATATTACAGTAAAACACTGGAAAGCACGAAATAAACTTTGATATCTTATACAATGCTGGTAATATCATTCAATTACATGTATATGAGCGCTGGTAATTACTTTTATGAGCACAGATTAGTACTGAATATTATTTTTGAAAATTTGAACAGGTGCTTGTTGTTATTTTAAAAGCGCACATTTGTGCTTTGTATACTGGTATATGCTGTTAAGTGTTGAATGCTGAATAAGCTTGTTTAATGGATTATAAGAGCGATTGTCAGTGCTAGTAAACTTTTATTGAGTATGTATGTGCTGGCAGAATATCTGTCATTGATGCAACTTATTTTATTTACGATCACATTTCAAAAGTAACCTTTAATGTAATATAACGGATTTTAAAAGGAACATATGTTTATAAAGATGGTAGCGGGTTGAACTTTGTAGATATAATATTTGTTGTAAATAAATATAAGACGTTCTAGATAAATTACGTTACGTTTTACTTTTACATTCTTTGATAACAAACAGGTTGGTCCGGGGTAACAGTTTATATACCCAGGCAGAGGGAGCAGCACTGTGCCAAACATGTCAGGGCAAACTTGTTGAGATCCTCACTACTGCCAAGTTGACATTTCTTAGATATATCCTCACCATGCAAGGTAACTCATGATATTCTATAAAGATGATAACTCCAAAGGAGTCGAAAAGATGAGAAAACTCTTTTCTTAAAGGCCCATTATGCCTCAGAAATAATTTTGTTAACATTTTTCAAAAGTTTTATTTTTATATTTAAGTGCCCTGTTACAGTTTCCAAAATGTTTTGTTTGTTTGTTTGTTTGATTTTACGCCTTTTCCCAACAGTATTTCAGTCATATAGGCGGGTAAGTTTCCTAACCATCGTTCCTGGAGATTTACATCAGTACTAGACTACCTTCCTCGTGCTAAACTACCATAGCTTCTCCCGGGGATCGAACCCACGCCAGAGAGGTAACTGAATTAGAAGTCATCGATTCCAAAATGTAACATACTGACCGATTACCTGAAACATCTGTCACTACTTTTGTATTATTAAGGTTATATTGAGGTAGTATTTTTATGGAAGTCAAAATACTGCTTTGTTTATATTTTCTACTTTTATAACAAATAATTTCATATTCAGAGCTACTTTCTTTAAGTGACAAGCATCTTAAATATATATGAGTATACAGATGGTCAGCATATGAAAATATAGTCATTAAAACGTGGCATTTTTTAAAGAAATGATCAACTTTACTTGACCTGTTATATGAGAACGTAGCTTCCAATAATACACAGTTTACTCGTTCTTTTATTCAAATCAGACATATTCAGTAACAATATCGTAAATTTCAATAAATTTCTGTAATTAAAATAATTATTTTACTCAAGGATGAGTAGGGTATATATATCTTTAGATAAAAATATTTATTTTTCTACGTCATAGCTGAAGATATTGATTATTGGGTCGACGGATCGAACGCAGGTGCCGCCAACTTCAGCTCGCACGACTCCTGGACCACGGCATCGGGGGCAATTATACCATTCGATATCGGTCTATGGGCGCCGGGGAAACCCGACTTATTAGATGTTCAACACTGCATCAGATTAAGACCCTCCTCGGGCTACTATTTCGACAACAAGGCCTGTGGTGTATTGTATAGAGTTATTTGTGAACAATAATATTAGAGTTTTATGTGAACGAGAAGAGTTAGCAAACTTTTGATTCCGAAAAGCAAACTTACTAAAATCACCGAAAGTGTATTTGTTTTTGTAATTGTTATATTTCTACCCCGTGATTTAAGCAGTGAAGACTTTTCCGAAATGATTTAACACGGAGAAAAGGTGAAATTTAATTGGCAATAAAAGGATGCCTACCTGACGTGATCAGGTAGTTTTTTCTCATAGCCTTTATAAATATTTCATTATAATTCTGTAGGGATAAAGTTTAGAGCCATATAATTCTGGTTTTAAAGTTTGACACACTCGAATAAAATTTAGGAAGAAAGACAGTATTCATCATTTGAATTGTGAAACTGCGTGTTTGAACAATCATAAATATACACGGATAAGATACTGATATTTTTCTTCCAAAAACTAATATTTATGTGGGTTATTCACGAAAATTAGCTGGTACTACACTTGAGTCTATAAACAATAAAGTTGCTACATAGACCTATAATTTTATTGACGTTTTGTCCCAGGCAGATCGCAACGTCAACATACATGGTATAGATACATATATAAGGGGGGTATTGTTACAGTCTTGTTGGCAAATGACGTTGCGGTTGCTCGTCTACAAACTTTACCTTTATCATAACTATTTAGGTTCTTGGTGTATTGTCGTTATACACGGCCATAACAGCCCTTGTGACAAGTCATTCAAGATCAGTTTTGTCAAAATGCTTGACGGGATTTCTTCTCAAAACGACAAAAGTTTTACAAAAGACAAAATAAACCTTCTTGCCTATACAAAACTTCAATAATATCGAGAAAAGGTTTAACAAAATAACCGTTTATGTTTAATATTTATAAACAAAATCAATCGACTTACATGACCGCACTTAATGCAGGCTTTTTAACGTTTCCGTAACTGCCTTATGAATGGCCTTCTGGCAAATTGAACTAACCCTCATTTTAAAATAAATTGAGTTACTTGAATTGACTTGAATATTTCTAAACTTTGGCATTTATTCTCAATCGGAATATCCTAGACGATTATCTATAATAACATCGGAGTTAATGCGGATTGAAGGTGGTTCTACCAAATATGAAAAATACATACTTGTTTGCCATATACATGAACTTTCTTTTGTTTTGCTACTTTTGTTCTGTTGACAATTTTTATTGTTATAGTGAATTTTTATTTTGTATGGAAGTCAAAATACTACCTTTGCTTACAGTTTGTGTTTATCATTTTTTACATTAAAATTTGTAAGACTTTCCTTGAAAGCTTATGTAATGGCAGAATTTAAAAGAAAGTAGTCCGGCAAGACACCAGTGAAAATATGGAAAATATGTTTCACTGCAGTGAAAAAAAATTACAGTGAAAATACGGAAAATGAAAATAAGCATTTGATTTCATCAATATTTCTCAATATTTCATATATTAGTATATAAATAAATAGAGATATTTATGGTTCGCTTTATTCGATTGTATGTTTGATGAATAAATACGAGTTTGTAATATTTCGGGCACTGTCAATATGGCTTTGCCGAAGAGACTTGTCATTTTCATCCGATGGGTCGATACCTTTATAAACCTATTATCAGCTCATAGAATGGTCAACTATTAACGAACAATTTTCTAAGTACCTAAAAGGCTGAGTAAATCTAAAATAATTGCTGTGCAAACATATATAAACCAATTCAATAATGTAAATAAACAAATGATTTTCATTTTTTCAAATTTGATCGAGCATTATGTAAATAAGACTCTAAGCATGTTTAGTAGATAAAACGAAGAAACGATATGCATACTCCGTAATATGTTAATATAAAAAATAAGTTATCTGTAGACAATGAAAATTTTGTACTCACTGTTGTGTTTTGGCATTTGTATAATGATTGTGTATGGAAAAATAAAAGAGAAAGTTTATTTTAACACCTTGCTACCGCTTGATCCGAAATACGGTACACGCCTTCAGACATTTCTGGAAATTTCAGTTCAAGATTGTGTTTTTAAGTGTAAAAATATTCGTAAATGTCGTTATATTAATTATTTTTCACGGTTACACACGTGTGAGCTGATATCGAGTACGTCGGATAATGTGTTTGTCACGAGACAGCCCGGGATAATTTTTGGGAATAAAGGAGACTGGGAAGTGGTAAGTTTAAGAACTTGTGTGTGTCATGTTAGTAAAGTAAGCTAACACCAAAGTAATGATTTGTTTTCTGTATGTAAATTAAAAACTGAATTAGCCTAAACAGGACCGAAATATTAATAGATAGTCGTAATATTCAATAATTATAATCTACTAAATTAAATGATATATTTTATAATGCCACGCTCAATTTAAAAACATGTACACAGAAAGTGAAAGACATTACGGCACCTAGTCAAAAGTATGTTCGTGTAGTTGGCAGCCTTGCAGCCTAGCAACCTGAAGTTGGCAGCCTAGCAGTCTTAAGAAAACTAAGAATAGTACAAACATGAAAACAGTCGGAAATACATTAGAAGCACTTCTTCAGATCATTCCACGCCTTTTTTCAATATTGTGATCTTTATTTTTTAAGATGTTGAACTTTATCTTAACATAATTTTTATGCCCCCACAGAGTGGGAGCATATAGCGTTGCACTTATCCGTCCGAGTGTCCGTACGTCCCGAAATCTTGTGAACGCAACTCCTCTTAAACCGGATGGCAGATTTTGCTTAAACTTCCAGGGATGAACAACCTTAATGTGTAGATGGTAGTAAAGGAAGGAATTTTTGCTGCGACCAAATTTAACAGAATTATGGCCCTTTGTTGATTTTTTCACTATATACTATGTAGAAATTTTGTGAACACAACTCCTCTTAAACCGGATGACAGATTTTGCTTAAATTTCCAGGGATGAACAACCTTAATGTGTAGATGGTAGTAAAGGGAGGAATTTTTGCTGCGACCAAATTTACTAGAATTATGGCCCTTTGTTGATTTTTTCACTATATACTATGTAGAAATTTTGTGAACGCAACTCCTCTTAAATCGGATGGCAGATTTTGCTTAAACTTCCAGGGATGAACAACCTTAATGTGTAGATGGTAGTAAAGGAAGGAATTTTTGCTGCGACCAAATTTAACAGAATTATTGCCCTTTGTTGATTTTTAGTTTTCAACTTGTGGCACATGTAGTCCAAAAAATATTTGACCTAGAGTCATAAGATTGACAGAACAGTGGCGTGTGGGGGCATCCGTGTCCTATGGACACATTTCTAGTTTCATTCTAACGCTTCAAAATTTGTGAAGTTAGCAGCCTAGCAGGATAGTACAAACATGAAAACCGTCGGAAATAAATCGGCCAAGCAGCCCTTTATGTATATAGTAAATACTTAAAAAAATCTTCTTTTTAAAAAAAAACCCTTAGAGCTAGAGCTAAGATATTTAGCATGAAATATTTTCTAATGGGTGTCTACCATTTATTGTTCAAATAAGGGCCCTGGGGGTTAAAAATTGGCCTTGCCCCGGGGATCATTAATTTTCCTAATATGTATATAGTAAAAACCCAAAGAGCTAGAGTTTAGATATTAAGCATGAACTATCTTCTAGTGAGTGACTACCAAGTTTTTTCAAATAAAAGCCCTTGGGGACAAAATTGGCCCCCGCCCAGAGGGGGTGTCATTGTTTTTCCCTATATGTGTATTATAAAAACTAAAAAATTCTACTTACAGCTAGAACTAAGATATTTATCATGAAACATCTTAAAATGTGTTTCTACCAAATTTGTTCAAATAAAAGCCCCTGGGTTAAAATTTGCCCCGACCCGGGGACCTATATACAGGTGAGCGATTTCAGGGCCATCATGGCCCTCTTGTAATAAGGATCGCGATATTGGAATAAGATGTTAAATAGTCTATGTGCTACCGATTCATTTCCGACGGTTTTCATGTTTGTACTATCCTTAGTTTTTTTAGGCTGTTAGGCTGCTAACTTCACAAATTTCGAAGTGTCAAAATAAAAAAAAAAAAAAAAAACAAAACACAAAAAAAAAACAACAATGTTCAATATTTTAAAAAAATAAAGATTGCGATACTGAAATAAGACGTGGATGGTCTAAGTATGCGCTACCGATTCATTTCCGACAGGTTTTCATGTTTGTATTATCCTTAGTTTTCTTTAGGCTGCTAGGCTGCCAGGCTGCTTACTTCACAAATTTTGAAGTGTCAAAAAAAAAAAAAAAAAAAACAATGTTCAATATTTAAAAAAATAAAGATCGCGATACTGAAATAAGACGTGGAATGGTCTAAGTATGTGCTACCGATTCATTTCCGACGGTTTTCATGTTTGTATTATCCTTAGTTTTCTTTAGGCTGCTAGGCTGCTAACTTCACAAATTTCGAAGTGTCAAAAAAAAAAAAAACAATGTTCAATATTTAAAAAAATAAAGATCGCGATACTGAAATAAGACGTGGAATGGTCTAAGTATGTGCTACCGATTCATTTCCGACGGTTTTCATGTTTGTATTATCCTTAATTTTCTTTAGGCTGCTAGGCTGCTAACTTAAAAAATTTCGAAATGTCAAAAAAAGTTCTATATGTAAAAAGATAAAGATCGCGATACTGAAATAAGACGTCGAATGGTCTAAGTATGTGCAACCAATTCATTTCCGACAGGTTTTCATGTTTGTATTATCCTTCGTTTTCTTTAGGCTGCTGGGCTGCTAGGCTGCTAACTTCAAAAATTTCGAAGCGTCAAAAAAACAAAAACAATGTTCAATATTTTAAAAAATAAAGATCGCGATACTGAAATAAGACGTAGAATAGTCAAAGTATGTGCTACCGATTTATATCCGACGGTTTTCATGTTTGTACTATCCTGCTAGGCTGCTAACTTCACAAATTTGGAAGCGTCAGAATGAAACAATTATGTTAAGATAAAGTTCAACATCTTAAAAAATAAAGATCACGATATTGAAAAAAAGGCATGGAATGATCTAAAGAAGTGCTACTTATGTATTTTCGACTGTTTTCATGTTTGTACTATTCTAAGTTTTCTTTAGGCTGCTGGGCTGCCAGGCTGCTAGGCTGCCAACTTCAGGCTGTTAGGCTGCCAACTTCACGAACATGTCAAAAGTACATTTTAAACAATATTATTACAAGTGTTTAGGTCTTTTATCGATGCCAATTTTTGTCAATTGAAGAAGCTAACCTTTCTTAGAAAAAGTTAAGATTTCAGTATGGATGAAAAACTAAACTGTAATGACCCTGTTATTTCCTCTAATTTTTATGATTTAAGCATATGAATCACCAATAGTGGAAATAACATCCTTTGGGAAAATGGGATCAATGCCCATATTTGTCATGCACGAGTCGAAATAAAATTGGCGTCTCAGGTATCATTGCTTATTTAGTCATTTCGACGTTTTGCGGCAATTTTACACGTAAAAAGCTCAAAAGCGGCCTAACGTAGGCAATGAAAATAACTATACCATTTTATATTTCTAAACACTCATTATCATCTTTCTTCTTTAGTCGTCCTTACCCACGTGCTCAAGTTGTACGGATGACGAAACATGTTTACCTGAAATACCCGGATGTAGAATTGATGGTAAGACTGTGTGTTTATTATTGTTCCATCACAAATTTAATATGCTGATAACATTGGGTTTATAAACAAAACGGTTAATTTAGGTTTCTGAAGGGCACACTATGCATCAGAAACAAGTACAAATAATTTCTAACTTCTTAAGAAGGGGCAAACATGAATTTTGTAATGTTTCAATGCTGGCTTTAGAAAAATGTTAGATGCTTGTCACCTGAAAAAAGTAGCGATAAATATGAAATTATTCGTCTTAAAAACACCAAAATGTAAACAAGTTAGTATTTTTACCAATGAAAATGGTTTACATGAAAGAAAACGCTATGTTAGCTCTTATAGGCAAATTGTGTCATCAGTAACTTTTGCTCTATTAAAACTGCCAATGCTTTGATTATAAGGCATGGACTCAACCACATACAAAACCCACGGAAATAATTGATCAGTGGTTGTGATAAAAAGTATAATTTTTACGCCTTAGTCTGTCTCACTTCTTGAATAAACTTTTCCATCTTCCATCTTTGGTATACTGTGCTTTAAAAATAACTTTGGGATTAAACGTGAGACATTTTTATAAGTATACTAAATAGAGCCTGGGTGGACTTCACTGATGACCAGGCCCCATGTTCACCATGAAAAGATCAGGATCAGGATCAAGTGATACTGATTTTATTTTCATTGTTTTATGTTACTAAAATTTATTGTGTTTTACTAGAATTAAATGGTAAATAGTCAAAAGGTAAAAAAAATGCTAATTTGCAAAGAAATAAAACTATTTTGGGATAAAAACAACAAATAACAAAACAAAACAAATACAAAAATATTCAGATCAAAATAAGGACTAATTTTAGGATCGGGATCAATAATTGGATCAGTATCTTACAAAAATAACATCAAATCTAGTCTAAAATTTCATAAACTTGCTATCGCAAGTCCAGTTGTCAATGAATAATATTAATATTAGATATTTAATCAATGAGGATAAACAATGAAGACTATGAGAGTGTTTTTTTTTTATTTGATCCTGATCCTGAAATCTTTCTGATCACGGGGCCTGACTTTATACTGGTGGTAAATGCTAATTACTTTTAGTTCCAGCATGTTAAACTTTATTTCAAATCATACTATATCAAGACATAAGTTTATTGCAATTCATTTGGTTTATTTAAAAGACAGCTTCTCTTTACATATCAATCAACATATTGACTGAGTCGCGTCACGACAAAACCAACATAATGGGTTTGCGACCAGCATGGATCCAGACCAGCCTGCGCATCCGCGCAGTCTGATCAGGATCCATGCTGTTCGCTATCAGTTTCTCTACTTGTTATAGGGTTGGTAAGCGAACAGCATAGATCCTGATCAGACTGCGCGGATGCGCAGACTGGTCTGGATCCATGCTGGTCGCAAACCCACTATGTTGATTTTGTCGTGACGCGGCTCAATTATGTTTAGGTTGCGGCTTCCCGGAAGTTTCAAATGGAACTTGTTGTTATTGGAAATATCTTTAGCGTCGATGCCACACTAAAATACGAATGCGCACACGGATATAGCAACACCGGAAGCAGTTTTATCACGTGTGGAAATAATGGCCAATGGTCGTCAGTTGACACGTGTTTACAAGGTATTTATGTTAAATTGGTAAATATTTTGTATTACTTATTTATTCGCTTGTTGGACTGCATTTATAAAATATAATCGACTTTTCTGTTGAAAAATTTAAAAGCAAATTATTTCTGGATCGATGTTATGAGCGTCAACGAATGAACAGAAATAGCACGAACGTCCTTCCTTTATTTGTTTAGATAAAGGATATATGTCCGTTAGAGTGCTTACAGCAAATATTTCTTTCCGATAGAGGGGAAAACGTCAGGGGGAGGACTTCTCTTTTCCCCTACTTTACCAAAATGAGCTTATTTAACCCGGCTTCGAAAATTTAAAATAGAGACATTGTCATTTAATTGATATGTTGATTCAGGGCTGGGAATCAAAACTGCGTCGTATCCTACAAAATGTAAACAAACGCCGCCATCTTGGAACGAAAAATGTATGTTTTTGTTTATAACTCTTTTTGTTGGAAATGACTGAAAACCAGATATATGTATTAACACGCTACACTATTTTCCGCTTCGTTCGGTATATGTTGCTTAGACAACTATTTTGTAAAACAAAAGTTATAGGCGAACTTGCAACTCAAAGCGGAGCAGAAAATTTTTATGAATTGTGTGGATAACGGACGCAGTTCATAATTGCTTTATCTATCGTTTCTCCTTCAAATAAATTATATACTCGTTTTCAGAGTTCACCATAAACTTCAAAACATGATTTTGCATCATTTACTAAATTTTCATTTAAAAAGAGGTGTTTATTTTTCCAAAGAAAAATATTGATGATTTTACGAAATGATTACGACGCAGTTTTGAAAATTAAAATATGATACGACGCAGTTTGTATTTCATTGCAGGCTGCATATTGGTTCTTTTAAACTGTTTAAATTATGTGCTAGGTATGTTAATAACGTTCCCTCCAACAACATGTCTTGTTTACAACTTAATTCAAAAGCAGAGGTCACTCATTGGTTCCATAAAAATGGAAATGTAATACAATTCTATTAAGGCTTGCGTTTTTCGGTCGCATTTAAGTACACCCATCATAAGCATCTACAAATTTCCGAAAAGCTGTTACAAATGCAATAAACATTGAAACACGTGATCGCACTGCCATATGTCAACGTGTTCCAGTGTTGCCTTAGCAATGCTTCATAAAATTGTTCCCGTGAAGTTCGAAATGGAGTGATTTACTATTTTTGATACAAAAAATCAATATATTCCAGTGTAACCTCTCCTGGACCCTGAAAAATAATAGATATTAATCAGGAATGACCTTGTGTTTTTGTTTTTTTTAAAAAAGAGAAAAGAATTACAAATTTTGAAAAGGTATCTTGCTATCGGAAGAGAGCTATGCGCTAAAATTGCATTGCCTTACCTTTGTTACTTTTGTAATTAGCAATAATTTTTCGTCATTAATTCCGTTATTACTTAATGTCTTTTACGTTTGCAGAGATTTTATTGTATTCATTTTCTATTATAAATAATCGGTGAGAACAGATTGAGCTTTATTATTTGAAACTGAACATTGAATTTTTAGAATTATTATTATTTAAATGGTTAAGCTCTCAAGATATTTTTGCAAGTAGGTTATTGCGTTCCGTTTAGATTCATTTTTATGTTTCAGCGCCGCGGAACTTTCCTCTAATTTTTTCGTATTGCATTTTCTTTATCGCCGATGAGGAAAGGTCTAAGGAATGTATTTTTTTCTATATTTGTATCATTCTTCTCCATTAAAAACCTTAAATTTTCAAAATCGAGTTACATAATTATGATACAACTACAGATTTATTTTTGTAAAGAAAGGTGTCGTTTTGCAAAAAGGTATTTTACGCGATAAATTTAAAATTTAATCATAAGATTTTTAATAAAGGCAGGACAATGAATCTTTCCCAACAGTAAAATTGAAGAAAGTCTTTTCACAATTATTGAACAGAAAATTTAGGTGCAGACTTATTCACAATTCGATTTCCTTCAATAGACTAAAGAGACATGGCATATCCCTTTAATTATTCCCCTTTATTACTAAAGTGTGATTTTTTATTTGAGTAAAACTTAAACAGAAAGGTTTCATCAGAAAATGACTTTTACTGTGTTTAACATTTTTGAAAAATTTTTCTCTACTACATGTAGTTCATAATACCGCAAAAATAAGAAAAATTAAATTGTTAAATTCTCTTTTAAGAAAATTAAATTTCAAATGTATTTATAATCTTTTAAAAATTTCACAATGCCAGAAGTTAATAAAAAAGCTGCTTATTTGTACAGCTGACGTTAACAAATTTTGTTGAAAAAAACAAATCCGACAGGTGTGTCCCGACCGTGGCCGAGCTGTTTATGTTTACTGAATTCAAATCAACTTGAATTGACTGCTATGAAATTCGAAAACTACCAGGGACTTTTTTATTCTATTCGTGTGAAAACCTATCAAGCTAGTTTCAAAATGTCGATGGTTCTCTGCCGGTGCAACATAGAGTGAAAAGTTTGAAAACAAAAACCACAAAAAAGCAGTCATTACCCAGAACATGCAGAACCACAGTTAACTTAGAGCGTAGCTAGCCAACATGAATTCAAGTTAATAGATTTCTATATTTTTTTGCGGAAAAGAATTAGGGATAAAATATTGAACATAGCCGGAAAAATATAAGAAATTATTTTCAGATATTATGATCAATTAGGTAACATGTTCATGTTTAACTGAAAAGTAGCAATGTAAACTTTTAAATTAAATGTGTTATATTGGACATGACACAATTTATTCTAAATAATCAAAAAGCAACAGAACATTGCTGTACACCGCAAATGATCTGGGGTTTTTTTATCTAGCGCAAGTGATTATTCCCATAAAATAGAAATATATTGCCAAATTATCCCTGTTGAAAAGACTGCAAAAAATACAACTGCGTCGTATCATATTTTATTTTCAACTGCGTCGTATCATTTCGTAAAAATCATTATTTTCTAAGAAAATAAACATCTCTTTTTAATGAAATTTTAGTAAATGATGCAAAATTATATTTCGAAGTTTATGGTGAACTCTGAAACAAAATAAATAATTGATTTGAAGGAAAAAACGATAGATACAAAGCAATATGAACTGCGTCGTATCCACACATTTCATAAAAATTCTGCCCCGCTTCGAGATGCAAGTTCGCTATAAACTTTTGTTTTACAAAAAAGTTGTGCAATCAACATATACCGAACGAAGCGGAAAATAGTGTAGCGTGTTAATAGATATATCTGGTTTTCAGTCATTTCCAACAAAAAAAGTTATAAACAAAAACATACGTTTTTCGTTCCAAGATGGCGGCGTTTGTTTACATTTTGTAGGATACGACGCAGTTTTGATTCCCAGCCCTGTGATTGATCGTAACATTTTATGAAATGATTCACATAGATTATATCTCGCTGGTTTACACGGGTGTTGCTCTTTGTTTTACTTTGAAGTTATTGTTTATATATTTACAGAAGTTAACCAATGCCCGCTAACAACAAATTATCAAAACGCTGTACTGAGTGATGGCACGCCTTTTATATACTGGTAATTGTTTTATATGATAATTAATACTGATGAATATGTTTTTTGTATCGAATATATATTTATATAGTATACGCGTTATCAAAAATGATTGTAAATTCCATAGGTATCATATTTTATATTTCAGTGTTGTTGTTGTTTATGTTGTTGTTGCTGATAGTGTTGTTGTTGTTGTTGTTGTTGTTAATTTTGTTGTTGTTGTTATTAATGTTGTTGTTAGTGTTAGTGTTGTTGTTAATGTTGTTGTTTTTAGTGTTGTTATTAATGTTGTTGTTAGTGGTTATGTTGTTGCTGCTGCTGCTGCTGTTGTTCTTGTTGTTGTTCTTGTTGTTCTTGTTCTTGTTGTTGTTGTTATGATATTGCTATGGATATCCGTTCACATAACTTCTGTCGAATGCTATCCAGTCACTATCACTTTCCTTCCGATGACCAAGTTGTCTACGTTTCCCGATTATATCTTTCGGATATTGTTGGAACATTAAAACAATACTTTTCTCTATTGTTTACGTACATGATCTGTCTTTGACTGATACAAACTAGCATGTTCTTCGGAGTATCACGTTTTCTTCTATCGCAAATCCTAAGTACACACCAACACATCGCACTCGACAGTGCATCATGAGCAATTTGATGTCCGTTACTTTATAAGAAGTTCTCATACTTAAAGTGGATTGGTCTATTATAAAAATAAAAAAATTTGATATTGAGCAAACAATAGAAATGTATCATCTGAATATTCTAATAAATAATTGCTTGAGAAAAAAATGTTGATAAAGTTCTATGTGATTTAGTAAGAACATCTAAATGTAAATGATGAAGACTGATATTTGTTCTTGAACATTTTATCATTTGCTATAAAAATATAATTGAGCCGCGTTACGACAAAACCAACATAATGGGTTTGCGACCAGCATTGATCCAGACCGGCATGTGCATCCGCGCAGTCTGATCAGGATTCATGCTGTTCGCTTACAGACCCTATAACAATTAAGTAGAGAAACTGATAGCGAACAGCATGGATCCTGATCAGACTGCGCGGATGCGCAGGCTGGTCTGGATCCATGCTGGTCGCAAACCCATTATGTTGGTTTTGTCGTGACGCGGCTCATATGTAATATCGGATCATGTATCCCACATTTTCCAACAAAATTCGTATATAATTATTTCTTGGTTTCTTGTTATGTCTGATACTCAATTCTATCAACGTTATTATTTATTATGTACAGTTCTTCTTATATATTCCAATTCACTTTAAACTCTTTACAAATACAGTCTATAAATAGAAAACAAATACAGTCTATAAATAGAAACAAATACAGTTTATAAATAGAAACAAATACAGTCACTAAATAGAAACAAATACTGTCTATAAATAGATTATTTCTAAAATGACGAACAGGTTGGTCCAAGCTACCTATACCCAGGCTCGAGGAGCGGCATTGTGTCAAGCATGTCAAGGCAGGCTTGTAGAGATCCTCAGCTACCCGAAGTTGGCGTTTCTTAGAAATATTCTCATCGATAAAGGTAAATTTTCTTAAGAACTTTCATTTCATATTTCTTACGCCATATATAATATCCTTAGCCGTCGAAGAAACACGGGACTCATGCTTTAAATAAAAAATAAACAGTGGCAACTATATGGTGTATTTTGCGTTTCCAAGTGGTCTCTTTGCCTTATAATGCGACAGACAACAACATGGAAAAGGTGACTTTTGTGTGTAGAGCGGGAAATCTTTTGTTTTTCCTTTTAACATTTTCCCCGAACAGATTCATAGGTTTATGCAAAGTCGACTAACATGAACACATTTATGTATGTACACCTCTCTTTCATTCTCTTTTTGTCCTGTCAATACTGGGAATGAACATTGGTTGGGATGAAAACAAATTAAATAAGTGCATCCATACATTATATCTACAGCTGATCGTAAAGATTACTGGATCGACGGATCGAACACTGATGCTGCAGATTACGCCTCTCAAGACGCATGGACGACAGCCTCTGGTGCAATTATACCATTAACAAGTCAGTTATGGGCCCCAAATACACCAAATCACGTCAACGTTGAACACTGCGTTAGATTAAAATCGAAAAATATACTATTTTAACGATTTTTTTTTGGATACATTTTTTAGGGCAGGAAAAAAAAAAAGAACAATGAACGAAAAAATAAAAACACGTACCAAAAAAAAAAAAATAAAAAAAGGGGTTTTAAAAAAATCTTCAAAAGTTCCCATTTGTGACTTTTTGAATGTTTATGTAAAGTAATGATTGTCTTTATAGATACGAGGGTTATTCAATATATAATGCACCTCACCTTCTCATTTCATATCAACAGGCACACATGACCTGCCAAAAGAGGAATATTACTTTATAGAGAGGTAGCAACCTTAGATAATTTATTTTTGAAATTATTTAACAGATTGCATTATATAATGAATGATCCTCGTATTTCTACTTCGGTACTTAAGAAGTAAAATCTTTCCATGCATATTTACACGCAATAAGTGTGATATTAAATGATAAAAAATAGATTATCTTAAATCATTTAAATACATGTATTTTCATAGTAGATTTGATGTTGAATGATATCATGTGTTTCTAAGATTATTTTAAATCATTTATATATACATGTATGTTAACATTATTTTTGATGTTAACTGATAAAAATGTATTTCTTAGATTATCTTAAATCATTTATACACATGTATGTTCACAGTAAATTTGATGTTAAATGATAAAAAAGTATTTCTTAGATTATCTTAAATCGTTTATATACATGTATGTTCACAGTTAATTTGATGTTAAATGATAAAAAAGTATTTCTTAGATTATCTTAAATCATTTATATACATGTATGTTCACAGTTAATTTGATGTTAAATGATAAAAAAGTATTTCTTAGATTATCTTAAATCATTTATATACATGTATGTTCACAGTTAATTTGATGTTAAATGATAAAAAAGTATTTCTTAGATATTTCTTAGATTATCTTAAATCATTTATATACATGTATGACCACAGTTAATTTGATGTTAAATGATAAAAAAGTATTTCTTGATTATCTTAAATCATTTATATACATGTATGTTCACAGTTTATTTGATGTTAAATGATAAAAAAGTATTCCTTAGATTATCTGAAATCATTTATATACATGTATGTTCACAGTTAATTTGATGTTAAATGATAAAAAAAGGTATTTCTTAGATTATCTTAAATCGTTTATATACATGTATGTTCACAGTTAATTTGATGTTAAATGATAAAAAGTATTTCTTAGATTATCTTAAATCGTTTATATACATGTATGTTCACAGTTTATTTGATGTTAAATGATAAAAAAGTATTTCTTAGATTATCTTAAATCGTTTATATACATGTATGTTCACAGTTAATTTGATGTTAAATGATAAAAAAGTATTTCTTAGATTATCTTAAATCGTTTATATGCATGTATGTTCACAGTTAATTTGATGTTAAATGATAAAAAAGTGTTTATTAGATTATCTTAAATCATTTATATACATGTATGTTCACAGTTAATTTGATGTTAAATGGTAAAAAGGTGTTTATTAGATTATCTTAAATCATTTATATACATGTAGGTTCACAGTTAATTTGATGTTAAATGATAAAAAAAATATTTCTTAGATTATCTTAAATCATTTATATACATGTATGTTCACAGTTAATTTGATGTTAAATGAAAATAAAGTATTTCTTAGATTATCTTAAATCATTTATATACATGTATTTTCACAGTTAATTTGATGTAAAATGATAACAAAGTATTTCTTAGATTATCTTTAATCATTTATATACATGTATGACCACAGTTTATTTGATGTAAAATGATAAAAAAAGTACTTCTAAGATTATCTTAAATCATTTATAAAGATGTATGTTCACAGTTAATTTGATGTTAAATTATAAAAAGTACTTCTTAGATTATCTTAAATCATTTATATACATGTATGTTCACAGTTAATTTAATGTTAAATGATAAAAAAGAACTTTTTAGATTATCTTTTAAATCTTTTATAAAGTATGTTCAAGTTTTTTTGATGTTAATAAAAAAAATACTTCTTATATTATCTTAAATCATTTATATACATGTATGTTCACAGTTTATTTGATGTTAAATGATAAAAAGTACTTCTTAGATTATCTTAAATCATTTATATATATGTATGTTCACAGTTTATTTGATGTTAAATGATAAAAAAGTACTTTTTAGATTATCTTAAATCAGTTATATACATGTATGTTCACAGTTGATTTGATGTTAAATGATAAAAAGTACTTCTTAGATTATCTTAAATCATTTATATAGATGTATGTTCTCAGTTATTTTGATGTTAAATGATAAAAAGTACTTCTTAGATTATCTTAAATCATTTATATACATGTATGTTCACAGTTTAATTGATGTTAAATGATAAAAAAGTACTTCTTAGATTATCTTAAATCATCTATATAGATGTATGTTCACAGTTTATTTGATGTTAAAAGATAAAAAGGTATTTCTTGATATCTTAAATCATTTATATACATGTATGTTCACAGTAAATTTGATGTTAAATGATAAAAAAGTATTCCTTAGATTATCTGAAATCATTTATATACATGTATGTTCACAGTTAATTTAATGTTAAATGATAAAAAAGGTATTTCTTGATTATCTTAAATCATCTATATACATGTATGTTCACAGTTAATTTGATGTTAAATGATAAAAAAGTGCTTCTAAGATTATCTTCAATCATTTATATACATGTATGTTCACAGTTAATTTGATGTTAAATGATAAAAAGGTATTTCTTGATTATCTTAAATCATTTATATACATGTATGTTCACAGTTTATTTGATGGTAAATTTCAACAGGTGTCACTTAGATTATCTTAAATCGTTTATAATTATATATACATATGTTCACTGGAAAGTAGTAATAGCATTTTCTAAACCGTTTTTCAAATTTTGACAAACATTAATAATGGAGAAGCATATGTAAGTAATGCAGGAATTATAAAATAGTGAGACGGCACGTGTATCTTATAAATATAACAGATTTTATCATTTGAATTGGTAATACACATGTAATCCACCAAAATGGTTGATAATTTGTAGAATGATTGGTCGTTTGATTGATTGATTGTTTTTGATTGATTGATTGATTGATTGATTGATTGATTGATTGACTGATTGAGAACAGGGCTACCTCAAAGAAAGTAAATTATCGTTATGAAAGTAGCGCTGACATTACATCCGAGGTCATCATTTTAAAAACGATATTCATTTTGAAAATTTAAAAAAAAAAAAAACATTTTCATCATGGTCTTTGTACCAATTCCGAAAAAATCAAAATAAAGTAGCGTCTTAAAATGAAATATAGAAGTAGGAAACCTTTAGAATATGTCGTTGTGCAGGGCATTTGACTTTTAAAACGATAAAAGGCATAATACAACAAAAAACGGCAAGAAGTATTAATAGCAAGTTCAAACTTTCCTATATTCACAATAATTATGTAAAAATCATATCTTGTAGCTAAAATCTATCAAACACCGTTTTTTTTTTAAAGCATATTTTAGCGATGTCAAAATATTGTAAGAAAATAAGTATACAGTATATAAATAACACATGGGTTTGTGGGTAACAGTAAAAATTTATTACCCCTCACTTTTTTCGTAATGCTAATTTCCCAAAGGCCTCTGGGAGTTATTTTTACTGTTAATGCAAGTGTACCACGTGACTAAGAATTTTGTACTGTTACATAGGTAACAGTATTTTTTAAGAGGTCACGTGGTCTATTTCCTAAATAAAATGAAATAAAATGGCCGCCATTTTTTTCTCTCGATTCATTCTTATTTTCAACGTTAAACCCGATAGGACATCAATTTCTCCTCTGGAGTCCCTTTGACACTCATAAAAATTAAGTTGTTTGCAACCTGGTGTGCTTTCGCGTATAAAATACCTTTTTGCTGAATAGTCAAAAAAGTGAACATCCGTTTTCAACGGAAGTAATTGCAATGTAAATAATTATGTGTCAAACTTGAACATGCAGACTATTTAAGCATTCAACAAAGGATTATTTAACAAATTTAATCAGTTGAAAGTTACAGATTATGGTGGACATAGGATATCATCGTTATTTTGTCAAAAGCCATGCTAAGAATATTCTGGAAACAGAAGGATTAGAGTTTCACAGATCATAACCGTGTAAATGGGTTAGTGTTTTGTTTCCTAAATAAAACCTAGCTTATTGTATGATACATTATGATTTGTAAATATCATCACTTGCTAAAAGAATGAAAGAAAAGAAAACTTCTCAAGTAGGCCTACAGTAAAGTACACTTAAAACTTAAAAGGTAAGGACATTTTAGTTATTGTTACTCTTGGTTTATTTTTGTTACAGTAAGATTTAGTTGAAATTTCAGATCATCTCAGTATTTTTGTTCGGGGTAATAAAATAAATAACACAATGGGTTTGTGAGTAACAGTAAAAATATCATCCCTCGTAAAAATACTGTTACCCTCGGCTACGCCTCGGGTAACAGTATTTTCCTCGGGATGATATTTTTACTGTTACCCACAAACCCATGTGTTATTTATATAATCATCCCGAGAAAAATACTGTTACCCGAGGCGTAAACTGTTCTTACCTTTTAAGTTTTAAGTGTACTTTACTGTATGCCTACTTGAGAAGTTTTCGTTTTCTTTTATTCTTTAAGCATGTGATGATATTACAAAACCATAACATACAATAAGCTAGGTTTTATTTTAGGAAACAAAACACTAACCCATTTACACGGTTTATGATCTGTGAAATCTGATCCTTCTGTTTCCAGAATATTCTTAGCATGGGTTTTTGACAAAATTACGATGATATCCTATGTCCACCATATCTGTAACGTTTTTACTGATTAAATTTGTTAAATAATCCTTTGTTGCATGCTTAAATCCTCTGCATGTTCCAGTTTGACACATAATTATTTTTACATTGCAATCAACTTCCGTTTTGAAAACGGATGTTTCACTTTTGGCTATTGAGCAAAAAGATATTTTATACGCCAAAAGCACACCAGGGTGCAAACAACTAAATTT